AGAGTGTCGCCGCAGGCGCGGTAGCCTTGCCCTTCGCGCGTGGCGCAATTTCCCGGCCCCACAGGGAGCTCCACCGAAGGCTCCAGTGGCAGGGTCCGCGTGCGTCAACGCCACCCAGGACAGCGCTTCGCGGCCCCATGGGGAGCTCCACCGAAGGCTCCAGTGGCAGGGTCCGCATGTGTCAACGCCACCCATGACAGCGTTTCGTGGCCTCATAGGGAACTCCACCGAAGGCTCCAGTGGCAGGGTCCGCATGCGTCAACGCCACCCAGGACAGCGTCTCGTGGGTCCATAGGGAACTCTACCGACGGCCCCAGTGGCTGGGTCCTCACGCGTCAACGCCACCCGTGACAGCGTTTCGCGGCCCCATAGGGAGCTCCACCGAAGGCTCCAGTGGCAGGGTCCGCATGTGTCAACGCCACCCATGACAGCGTCTCGTGGCCGGCCCCATAGGGAGCTCCACCGAAGGATCCAATGGCAGGGTCCGCCCGCGTCAGCGACACCCAGGACAGCGTTTCCTGGCCCCACAGAGACCTCCACCGAAGGTCCCAGTGGCAGGGTCCGCGTGCGTCACCACCACCCATGACAGCGCTTCGTGGCCCCAGGGGTAACTCCACCGAAGGCCCCAATGGCACCGTTCGCATGCGCCCCCCCCCCCCCCACACACCTAGGACGGCGTGTCGTGGTCGCCAAGGGAGATCCCACCGAAGGCCGCAGTAACACCGTTCAAATGCGTCAGCGCCACCCAGGACAGCGTTTCGTGGCCTCATAGGGAGCTCCACCGAAGGCTCCAGTGGCAGGGCCCGCGTGCGTCAACGCCACCCAGGACAGCGTTTCGTGGCCCCATAGGGAGCTCCACCGAAGGCTCCAAAGCAACGCCACCCAGGACAGCGCTTCGTGGCCCCATAGGGAGCTCCACCGAAGGCTCCAGTGGCAGGGTCCGCATGCGTCTCCCCCACCCAGGACAGCGCTTCGTGGTCCCATAGGGAGCTCCACCGAAGGCGGCAGTGGCGCAGTTCGCATGCGTCTCCCCCCCCCATTATAGTGTTTCGTGGCTTCAGCAGGAGCTCCAATAAAGGTTACGATGGCGCAGATCGCATGCGTTTCCCGCACCCAGGGTAACGTTTCGTGGCCCCACAGGGAGCTGCTTCGAAGGACCCATTTGCGGTGTTCACATGCGTCCGCGCCACCGATTTCGGCGCACCCCTCGCACGTTTCGTGGCCCAATAGGGGGTTTCCACCGAAAGCGGTACCCACAATGCGCTACTCGCAGCTGCATGTGGATGGTTCCTTCGTCAGGGTAATTGAGAACGATTTTGACCCTGCGCCTCCTCCTCTCCTCTCCTCTCCTCTCCTCTCCTCTCCTCTCCTCAGGAGGGCTCCCAGATGATACCGGAGAACAACCCCAATCATAATCTTTTAAGGGCTGTAGGGCTATATGGGCTATAGGGCTATTGGGCTATATGGTAATAGAGCTACAGGGCTATAGGGCTATAGGGTATAGGGCTATAGGTCTATAGGGTTATAGGGCTAAAGGGCTATAGGGCTATTGGGTGATAGGGATATAGGGCTATAAGGCTATAGGGCTACAGGGCACCGGGCACCCGGGCACCCGGGCACCCGGCACCCGGGCACCCACCTGGGCACCGGGCACCCGTCACCCGGGCACCCGGGCACCCGGCACCCGGCACCCGGGCACCCACCCGGGCACCCGGGCACCCGTCACCTTGGCTCCCGGGCACCCGGGCATCCGGGCACCCGGGCCCGGCCACCGAATCGGTGGCGAACCCGGGCACCCGGGCACCCGGGGCACCCGGGCACCCGGGGCACCCGGGCACCCGGGCCCGGCCACCGAATCGGCGGCACACCTCACCTACCCTTAGATCCGCTAGGACCCCTGCAGAGGCAAGCTCTGATTGGGGAACTGTCCCAGAGAGCCCCAAGTCGGCCCAAACCCACGACAGCCCCAGAGCGCCCCACGAGTGCCCCAAGAGGGGCCCGCAGTGGTCGTGGCTCGAGCCGTCTTGGCTTCCGCGCCACGTGGACCTTCGCCGTGGGTGGGGCCGCGCTCCCCCGATCACTCTCGAGAGCCACACTCGCTCGCCGTCCTCCCGCCGGCGCCCCTCCTCCCCTGCTCGGGCCGATGTCCGAGAAGGGGTGCATGGAGTGGAACGTCCGGAGCTGGGCCGTCACGGTGGCCAGCTCCGCCGAGGTGACGCTCTGCGTTCTTGGCCTGCGCGGTGGCTCGACGACCACGGCGCTGATGGCCTTCATGGACTCCGTGGGCCTGCGCGGAGAGTACGACTTCCTGTACGCGCCGTCCGACTTTCGATCGAAGAGGGGCTTCGGGTACGCGATCGCCAACTTTTTGAGCTCCAGCGCGGCCAAGAGGTTCGTGCAGCTTATCTCGTTCGGTGGGCTCTCGAAGTTCGCGGCGGGCTCTGATATTCGCGTGACTCCCTCGAAGACGCAGGGGCTGGCAGAGTGCCTCCTCTCTTGGTACAGGAGCCACTCGCGCAGCGTGCGAAGCGCCAAGTTGTTCTGCTTCGTGCGGCCGCTTAACGCGATTATGCCCGTCAACCCATACCTCGAGATGCCGCCGAGCATACCGCGCGCCATGGACGTCCCGATTCCCGCATTTTCCGTGGCAGGAAGCGCCAAGTTGTTCTGCTTCGTGCGGCCGTTAACGCGATGATGCCCGTCAACCCATACCTCGAGATGCCGCCGAGCATACCTCGTGCCATGGACGTCCCGATTCCCGCATTTGCCTTGGCAGACTTACTCGAGCTGTTTGCCGACGAAAAGACTTTCTGATGATGAGCGGGCCTTAGCGGTGCCGTCCTGGCAGCGTATGCCGACCGCTGGTTGGTTGACAGTGCAGAGTCTTTGTTCCCTACCTTGGCTGAGCCTAGAAGGTTCTTACTCTCTGGGCTTAAAGGGGCCGGGCAGTGTTCCTCGCCCCGGGCGGTTCCCCCAGTATCCGCCCCGCGGTTCCCCCAGTTGCGCCCCCTGGGTTCACCCAGCTTAGCTTAGCTCAGCTAAGCTTAGCTTAGCTTAGCTTGGCTTAGCTTACCTTAGCTTAGCTTAGCTTATCTCATCTTAGCTTAGCACAGCTTGGCTTAGGTAATATTCGCCTAGCTTAGCTTAGCTTTGCCTAGCCTAGCTTAGCTTAGCTTAGTTTAGCTTAGCTTAACTTAGCTTGGCTTATAGCATATCATCTCAGCATAGCTTAGCTTAGCTTAGCTTAGCTTGGCTTAGCTTAGCTTAACTTAGCTTAGCTTAGCCTAGCCTAGCCTAGCTTAACTTAGCTTAGCTTCGCATAGCTTAGCTTACCTTAGCGTAGCTTAGCGCAGCGCAGCATAGCGCAGCGCAGCATTAGCACAGCATATCATATCATAATATAGCCAAGCATAGCATAGCATAACATAGCTCAGCATAGCATAGCATAGCATGGCATAGCATTGCGCAGCATAACATATCATATCATAGCATTGCATAGTATAGCACAACGCAGCATAGCATAGCAGAGCACAGCATATCATAGCATATCATAGCAACTCCTACCATAGTATAGCGCATCATATCATAACATAGCATAACATAGCGCAGCATAGCATATCATAGCATAGCCTAGCATAGCACAGCATATCATAGCATAGCATAGCGCATGGTAGCAAAGCATAGCCTAGCATAACACAGCGCTGCCGAGCGTACCCTAGCATAGCATAGCACAGCATAGCGCAGCATAGCGCAGCATAACGCAGCATAGCACCGCATACTATAGCATAACATAGCATATCGCAACATAGCATAGCATAGCATAGCATAGCATAGCATAGCATAGCATAGCATAGCATAGCAGCACAGCAAAGGCAAAGCAACAGCAGCAACAGCAGCAACAGAAAAACAGAACACAAAAAATGCAAAGCCGGACCTGCAGTGCTGAACAGCCTGCAGCTCTTGCGGTGTAGATGTAGATGTTGCTTTCCTAAATGCTCCAACTCCTAGGTAGGGTCGCACTGGGATAATTTGTCTGGTTTCACACCGTGTGCCATCGTGGGAGTTCTCGCATCCCTCGTCCAATTGGCCACGACAATCAGTCCTGGCCTGCCCCATTTGTAAGTACATTGCTGCCATCGATCCCGCGGGTCCCCGCATGCGAGGAGAAGGGGGGGAGCAGGTGGTGGTGAAGGTGGAGGTGGAGGAGGTGGAGGAGCAGGCGTCGGATATGCTTCTGGCACGCTTGCCATGGCGAAGGCTACGTCGGGCGTCCGGCGTCGCGCTCGCTGCCACATCCAGGCCCTTTGCCTGTCGTTCGTCAACCGCAAGAGGCGGGGGAGGGGCGAGAGGGAGGGAGGATGGGAGGGAAGGCAGTAAAGGGGCTCTCGGCAGCGCTCCAGCGGTAGTTCGTCGACCACGGACAGCCGTGCAAGGGCCGGCCGGGCCTGATTCTGACAAAAGCATCGGCACAGCATTGCGTACAGCGAGTGCCTCCGATCTTTCCCCTCGCTCAGGCGCCTTGCCGGAAGCCCGGCTCAGCGGCGGCAGTAGTGCCCAAGCGCCGTGTCAAAGGTTGGCGCATAGCAACTTCTGTACGAGCGCCGGGCTTGACTGACTGACTGACCTCGCTCAGGCGGCGTGTCTAGCTGAGCTGTTTCGCGAGCATTCGAGGAACAGGTAAGGACATAAACATGCTTGTAGCCCGCACGCGACGCCTCCGCCAACTGGCAGGTCTGCCTGAGGCGACATGTATGGCTCGTGTCGGCGACATTCACCCATCCTTGGTACACTGCTTTGAGCCACTGTTAGGTAGGCCCTCGTCTCCCACTCCCTCCTGGCGCATCACCTCCTCTTCCTCTCCCACTCCCATGCCTCATCGCATCCCTCGTCCCTCCTCCTTTCTCTGCTCGAGTGATGCCGGCACCCCGGCGCCACCGCCCAGCTCCGAGTAGGGCCGTCCCCCTGGGACGACACAGGCGCAGCCTCAGCTTCAGCCTCAGGCCCCGCCGCAGGCTCCCCCCGGCGCACTCCTCCGAGCTGCCTGGCCAGAGCGAAGACAGAGATGCACGAGGCCCCTGCGATGAGCACGAGTGCCGAGAAAACTGTAACAGGTGATGCGAGCAGCTTGTTGCAGGTCTGCGGGGCTCGAGAGATTAGATCAGCCTCCCTGCCCCGCTCTGGCCCTCTTCTGGCTCGCCGGGCTCCGGAGCTCTCGGTCCCGCAGGCTGGCCGCTGCCAGCCCCCTCCTGGAGCTCTCAATCCCTCCGCTCTCCTGTCTTCCCGCCCCCTTCTCCCCGCCTCTGCCTGTCCATCTCCGCCCGCACTGCCCTCGACTGCCCATCCTGCCCCAGTCGTCAGGCGGGGGGTGGCCGGGGTCGTTGCCATCTGGATGAGGACCACCTGCTCCTGCGTCCGCAGGATTCCCCCCCCCCCCTGCCCCTCTCTCCCCCCCGCCCCCTCTCTTGTGCATCTTTCCCCCGCCCCTCCCTCCCCCCTCGCCTGCCCCCCTGCTCTTCCCTCCCTCCTCCCCCTGTCGGCGATTTGCTCAGACTGCCCTAGCCTCGGAGGGTAGGGGGTGGCTGGGGTCTCCGCAGCCTGGGAGGGCCTGAAGTAGGAGTGGACCCACCACCCAGGCTCTCCTGCCAGCTGAGATAACGGCCGCAGGAGCTCGCACAGATGTCTGAGGATTCTGGATGTCAGTCGTCGCGGCACCCGTGCGTGGATGCGGTGCTGCGTGAGCCTCGGGGGCGCTTCGACATTCGCGTCTCGCGTGTCGTTGTCTGGGCTGGAGGGGCCGGTCTCATCTTGGAAAGCGGTATACAGGCTGTCTACTCAGTGCCCCTGCACTCCCTCCTGCCTCGTCGTCGTCTCTCTCTCTCTCTTCCCCTTCTCTCCTGCCTCTACAATTACTCAATATGAATACTACTCTCCTCCTTCCCCTGATGACGGGTTGGGAGTGTTCGCCCCCCCCCCCCCCCGCGTACTGTTTTTGTACACAGGATTCCCCGGACTTGTGTTTTCGCCTGCATTTTTTTCCAAATGCTGCTCTCGCTGAGGCGCCGGCCTCATTTTCGGGCCCCGCTCGTTCCGAATCGTGCTCCCGCTGCAGCGGTGGCCTCATTTCCGTGCTTCCGCTCGTTCCGAATCGTGCTCCCGCTGCAGCGCTGGCCTCATTTCCGCGCTTCCGCTCGTTCCGAATCGTGTTCCCGCTGCAGCGCTGGCGTCATTTCCCGTGCCATGCCACGGCATGCAATGCCCACCTCGCTTGGCATCGCTCGGACGTGTGTATTTTTTCTGCACGAACGAGATGGGCACGGAAAGAATGGGTACGATGCCCAAGATGACGAACGAGCAACACACACCCATACCCATAGAGGGGTCGTTGAGAGGAGGACTGGCAGTGGGTATGGGTGCGGGTTGTCGGACCCTGGGGAACGCTCCCGTTCGAGCGGGGACCCCCATCCGACAACACGCACCCATAGCCCTCTCCGACCCCCTATGGGTATGAGTGTGTGTTGTTGGTTCGTCACAACAGCAGTTCCTGTTAATCTTGAACAGGACTCGCTGTCCGCGCCGCCGCGGCCTGTGTCCATTCGAGACAGGAGGCCGCCTGCCCAACAGCGGCCCTGTTTCTTGGGACAACATTTGCTGTTGGGCATTGTACCCATTCTTTCCGTACCCATTACGAGCGTCCAAATCTTTCGGCGAGCACCATCGAGGACCATCCTGGACCAAGGAGCAAAAAACGCACGCGCGAAACCGAAACATGCAGGGGAAATGGACGTCCGAGCGACGGCAAGCTCGAGCCGATCGATGTCGCCGTCGCTGTCGATTCGGATCGATCGGCTCGACATCGATGTCGATCGAATCGGCCAGAATCGGCATCGACGGATCTCGACCGACATCGATTCTCGGGCCGATCCCATCCGATTCGATTCCAATGTGCTGGCGATCCGATGCGGCCAGCTGATTGCCCGGCGCTGTGGTGCATCCTTGCGCAGCCGATCCGATGTCATTCCGACTTCGTGCCGATGCGGCTCGATCCGACGCACATTCGTGTCCGATCCGTTTTCCCGATTCGATGTTGGTCGATTCTGTTGTGACTGCTCTTGCTCTATCGGGCCCCGGCCCAATTATTGGCACACCGATCTTCGGTACAAACGACATGGGCACCGAGAGTGTCGATGACCACGGCTGGATTCTGCCCGATTCTGGCTAGAGTGCACCCCGCAAGAGGTCCAGGGAGTAACGGTATCGGGCTTCTCGGTACGATCGAAACGGGTACGGAACGAATCAGGACGAAGATCGGCAGCTGTTCCTGCCCATTTTGAGCAGGATGCGCTGTCGGCGTCACCACGGACGTTAATCATTTGGGGCAACGGTCAGCGCCTTCCCAGGGGCAGCGGCTGCTGGTCTGAGACCACATTGCTGTTGGGTATCGTGTCCATTTCGGGCGTCCGAAGATCTGCCCCCCCCCCGCCGACATCTGTCATGCAAGCCGAGGCGGCCGGACGCCTACGGTCACCGCGCACAGAAAGGATGGGCGGCCTTCCAGGGTGACCCTCGCCCCCTTCCCCTCTGCCCCGTCCTCCGGCCCACTCTCGCTGGCTGCGCCCCGCTTGGAGAATGTCGAGGTGGCCTTCCGAGGCCCTCGCACCCTCACCGTGCATCCTTACAGTGCCGATTTTAATACAT